CTTCTTCTGCCCCCGTGTCTCCTTTCCATCACTTGTTCATTTCCATCTCTTGTTCATTTCCATCTCTTCTTCTGCCCCCGTGTCTCCTTTCCATCACTTGTTCATTTCCATCTCTTCTTCTGCCCCCGTGTCTCCTTTCCATCACTTGTTCATTTCCATCTCTTCTTCTGCCCCCGTGTCTCCTTTCCATCACTTGTTCATTTCCATCTCTTCTTCTGCCCCCGTGTCTCCTTTCCATCACTTGTTCATTTCCATCTCTTCTTCTGCCCCCGTGTCTCCTTTCCATCACTTGTTCATTTCCATCTCTTCTTCTGCCCCCGTGTCTCCTTTCCATCACTTGTTCATTTCCATCTCTTCTTCTGCCCCCGTGTCTCCTTTCCATCACTTGTTCATTTCCATCTCTTCTTCTGCCCCCGTGTCTCCTTTCCATCACTTGTTCATTTCCATCTCTTCTTCTGCCCCCGTGTCTCCTTTCCATCACTTGTTCATTTCCATCTCTTCTTCTGCCCCCGTGTCTCCTTTCCATCACTTGTTCATTTCCATCTCTTCTTCTGCCCCCGTGTCTCCTTTCCATCACTTGTTCATTTCCATCTCTTCTTCTGCCCCCGTGTCTCCTTTCCATCACTTGTTCATTTCCATCTCTTCTTCTGCCCCCGTGTCTCCTTTCCATCACTTGTTCATTTCCATCTCTTCTTCTGCCCCCGTGTCTCCTTTCCATCACTTGTTCATTTCCATCACTTGTTCATTTCCATCTCTTCTTCTGCCCCCGTGTCTCCTTTCCATCACTTGTTCATTTCCATCACTTGTTCATTTCCATCTCTTCTTCTGCCCCCGTGTCTCCTTTCCATCACTTGTTCATTTCCATCTCTTCTTCTGCCCCCGTGTCTCCTTTCCATCACTTGTTCATTTCCATCTCTTCTTCTGCCCCCGTGTCTCCTTTCCATCACTTGTTCATTTCCATCTCTTCTTCTGCCCCCGTGTCTCCTTTCCATCACTTGTTCATTTCCATCTCTTCTTCTGCCCCCGTGTCTCCTTTCCATCACTTGTTCATTTCCATCTCTTCTTCTGCCCCCGTGTCTCCTTTCCATCACTTGTTCATTTCCATCTCTTCTTCTGCCCCCGTGTCTCCTTTCCATCACTTGTTCATTTCCATCTCTTCTTCTGCCCCCGTGTCTCCTTTCCATCACTTGTTCATTTCCATCTCTTCTTCTGCCCCCGTGTCTCCTTTCCATCACTTGTTCATTTCCATCTCTTCTTCTGCCCCCGTGTCTCCTTTCCATCACTTGTTCATTTCCATCACTTGTTCATTTCCATCTCTTCTTCTGCCCCCGTGTCTCCTTTCCATCACTTGTTCATTTCCATCTCTTCTTCTGCCCCCGTGTCTCCTTTCCATCACTTGTTCATTTCCATCTCTTCTTCTGCCCCCGTGTCTCCTTTCCATCACTTGTTCATTTCCATCTCTTCTTCTGCCCCCGTGTCTCCTTTCCATCACTTGTTCATTTCCATCTCTTCTTCTGCCCCCGTGTCTCCTTTCCATCACTTGTTCATTTCCATCTCTTCTTCTGCCCCCGTGTCTCCTTTCCATCACTTGTTCATTTCCATCTCTTCTTCTGCCCCCGTGTCTCCTTTCCATCACTTGTTCATTTCCATCTCTTCTTCTGCCCCCGTGTCTCCTTTCCATCACTTGTTCATTTCCATCTCTTCTTCTGCCCCCGTGTCTCCTTTCCATCACTTGTTCATTTCCATCTCTTCTTCTGCCCCCGTGTCTCCTTTCCATCACTTGTTCATTTCCATCTCTTCTTCTGCCCCCGTGTCTCCTTTCCATCACTTGTTCATTTCCATCTCTTCTTCTGCCCCCGTGTCTCCTTTCCATCACTTGTTCATTTCCATCTCTTCTTCTGCCCCCGTGTCTCCTTTCCATCACTTGTTCATTTCCATCTCTTCTTCTGCCCCCGTGTCTCCTTTCCATCACTTGTTCATTTCCATCTCTTCTTCTGCCCCCGTGTCTCCTTTCCATCACTTGTTCATTTCCATCTCTTCTTCTGCCCCCGTGTCTCCTTTCCATCACTTGTTCATTTCCATCTCTTCTTCTGCCCCCGTGTCTCCTTTCCATCACTTGTTCATTTCCATCTCTTCTTCTGCCCCCGTGTCTCCTTTCCATCACTTGTTCATTTCCATCTCTTCTTCTGCCCCCGTGTCTCCTTTCCATCACTTGTTCATTTCCATCTCTTCTTCTGCCCCCGTGTCTCCTTTCCATCACTTGTTCATTTCCATCTCTTCTTCTGCCCCCGTGTCTCCTTTCCATCACTTGTTCATTTCCATCTCTTCTTCTGCCCCCGTGTCTCCTTTCCATCACTTGTTCATTTCCATCTCTTCTTCTGCCCCCGTGTCTCCTTTCCATCACTTGTTCATTTCCATCTCTTCTTCTGCCCCCGTGTCTCCTTTCCATCACTTGTTCATTTCCATCTCTTCTTCTGCCCCCGTGTCTCCTTTCCATCACTTGTTCATTTCCATCTCTTCTTCTGCCCCCGTGTCTCCTTTCCATCACTTGTTCATTTCCATCTCTTCTTCTGCCCCCGTGTCTCCTTTCCATCACTTGTTCATTTCCATCTCTTCTTCTGCCCCCGTGTCTCCTTTCCATCACTTGTTCATTTCCATCTCTTCTTCTGCCCCCGTGTCTCCTTTCCATCACTTGTTCATTTCCATCACTTGTTCATTTCCATCTCTTCTTCTGCCCCCGTGTCTCCTTTCCATCACTTGTTCATTTCCATCTCTTCTTCTGCCCCCGTGTCTCCTTTCCATCACTTGTTCATTTCCATCTCTTCTTCTGCCCCCGTGTCTCCTTTCCATCACTTGTTCATTTCCATCTCTTCTTCTGCCCCCGTGTCTCCTTTCCATCACTTGTTCATTTCCATCTCTTCTTCTGCCCCCGTGTCTCCTTTCCATCACTTGTTCATTTCCATCTCTTCTTCTGCCCCCGTGTCTCCTTTCCATCACTTGTTCATTTCCATCTCTTCTTCTGCCCCCGTGTCTCCTTTCCATCACTTGTTCATTTCCATCTCTTCTTCTGCCCCCGTGTCTCCTTTCCATCACTTGTTCATTTCCATCACTTGTTCATTTCCATCTCTTCTTCTGCCCCCGTGTCTCCTTTCCATCACTTGTTCATTTCCATCTCTTCTTCTGCCCCCGTGTCTCCTTTCCATCACTTGTTCATTTCCATCTCTTCTTCTGCCCCCGTGTCTCCTTTCCATCACTTGTTCATTTCCATCTCTTCTTCTGCCCCCGTGTCTCCTTTCCATCACTTGTTCATTTCCATCTCTTCTTCTGCCCCCGTGTCTCCTTTCCATCACTTGTTCATTTCCATCTCTTCTTCTGCCCCCGTGTCTCCTTTCCATCACTTGTTCATTTCCATCTCTTCTTCTGCCCCCGTGTCTCCTTTCCATCACTTGTTCATTTCCATCTCTTCTTCTGCCCCCGTGTCTCCTTTCCATCACTTGTTCATTTCCATCTCTTCTTCTGCCCCCGTGTCTCCTTTCCATCACTTGTTCATTTCCATCTCTTCTTCTGCCCCCGTGTCTCCTTTCCATCACTTGTTCATTTCCATCTCTTCTTCTGCCCCCGTGTCTCCTTTCCATCACTTGTTCATTTCCATCTCTTCTTCTGCCCCCGTGTCTCCTTTCCATCACTTGTTCATTTCCATCTCTTCTTCTGCCCCCGTGTCTCCTTTCCATCACTTGTTCATTTCCATCTCTTCTTCTGCCCCCGTGTCTCCTTTCCATCACTTGTTCATTTCCATCTCTTCTTCTGCCCCCGTGTCTCCTTTCCATCACTTGTTCATTTCCATCTCTTCTTCTGCCCCCGTGTCTCCTTTCCATCACTTGTTCATTTCCATCTCTTCTTCTGCCCCCGTGTCTCCTTTCCATCACTTGTTCATTTCCATCTCTTCTTCTGCCCCCGTGTCTCCTTTCCATCACTTGTTCATTTCCATCTCTTCTTCTGCCCCCGTGTCTCCTTTCCATCACTTGTTCATTTCCATCTCTTCTTCTGCCCCCGTGTCTCCTTTCCATCACTTGTTCATTTCCATCTCTTCTTCTGCCCCCGTGTCTCCTTTCCATCACTTGTTCATTTCCATCTCTTCTTCTGCCCCCGTGTCTCCTTTCCATCACTTGTTCATTTCCATCTCTTCTTCTGCCCCCGTGTCTCCTTTCCATCACTTGTTCATTTCCATCTCTTCTTCTGCCCCCGTGTCTCCTTTCCATCACTTGTTCATTTCCATCTCTTCTTCTGCCCCCGTGTCTCCTTTCCATCACTTGTTCATTTCCATCTCTTCTTCTGCCCCCGTGTCTCCTTTCCATCACTTGTTCATTTCCATCTCTTCTTCTGCCCCCGTGTCTCCTTTCCATCACTTGTTCATTTCCATCTCTTCTTCTGCCCCCGTGTCTCCTTTCCATCACTTGTTCATTTCCATCTCTTCTTCTGCCCCCGTGTCTCCTTTCCATCACTTGTTCATTTCCATCTCTTCTTCTGCCCCCGTGTCTCCTTTCCATCACTTGTTCATTTCCATCTCTTCTTCTGCCCCCGTGTCTCCTTTCCATCACTTGTTCATTTCCATCTCTTCTTCTGCCCCCGTGTCTCCTTTCCATCACTTGTTCATTTCCATCTCTTCTTCTGCCCCCGTGTCTCCTTTCCATCACTTGTTCATTTCCATCTCTTCTTCTGCCCCCGTGTCTCCTTTCCATCACTTGTTCATTTCCATCTCTTCTTCTGCCCCCGTGTCTCCTTTCCATCACTTGTTCATTTCCATCTCTTCTTCTGCCCCCGTGTCTCCTTTCCATCACTTGTTCATTTCCATCTCTTCTTCTGCCCCCGTGTCTCCTTTCCATCACTCTCTACTCCCTACCCCCCTGCCTTGTTCCCCCTGCCTTGTTCCCCCTGCCCTCTTCCCCGTACCCTAATCCCCCTGCCTTGTTCCCTTGGCCCGCTTCTCCCGGGCGTGGCAGGGTGATGGAGAGCAACGGGTGTCCGGGGTACGCATGGCGAGTGCAGGCCACGCTGTACTCGCCCCTGCAGCAGGCGCTCTCCTTCGCCGTGCCGCTCGCCCCCACGCTCGCCGCCTCCGCCACGCCCGTGGCCCTCAGCGGCACGTGCAAGATGGGGCCCATTGGCTTCGCCCTCAACGGCGTGCCCTTCTACAGGTCCGCGGGAAGGGGGGCGACACGTGGAGGGAAGGGGGGAGAGGTGGAGGGAAGGGGGGAGAGGTGGAGGGAAGGGGGGAGAGGTGGAGGGAAGGGGGGAGAGGTGGAGGGAAGGGGGAGACGGTAGGGCCACTGGGCTCACATTCCATCATCCATATTCTGCACCATCCCGTTCCCCACTGGGCCGCCCATACTGCTCCCTCTGTGTGCCATGCTTGGCAGTAGGAAGAAGCGTGGGAGCCCTTGTGGGTGTGCCTGCCACCTCACACCCGCATTGCGCCTCCCCGTGTCTCCCTCTCCCTCTCCCCCTCGCAGTGCGTGTGACGCCCTGGGCCGTGACGCCTTGCAGTACGAGGGCTCCACCTTTGACTCGTGTGGGGGGCACCCCACGCCCTCGGGCCAGTACCACTACCACGTCGCACCCGGCGTCGCCAACCCCTCTGCCATCTCCGCATCTCGCTCCACCAACTTCAACCTCTGCAAGTGCGTTCCCCCATTCCCCCATTACCCCTTTCTTCCAGTTCCCCCGTTCCCACCTTCTCGCCTGCAACCTCCACTCCTTCCATAGCCAACCATGCTTCATCCATGCCCCATGCGCGGCCTTGTGTTATTCACCTCGTAGCATTCCTGCCATCCCAACCATTCACCTCCCCTTCTCTCCGCCCCCCCTCCTCTCCTGCCCCCTTCCCCCCCCAGCTCGTCCTTCTGGCAGGACGTGCCCAGGCAGCACTCGCCGCTGCTGGGCTTCCTGGCGGACGGCATTCCGCTGTTCGGCCCGCGGGGAGCGGGGGGAGAGCTGCCGGCAGGGGTGGACGAGTGTGGGGGGCACGTGGGCGACGGCAGTGGTGGCGAGCCGGCGTTCTACCACTACCACGCCAGCAGCACGGCGCCCTACACTGTGGCTTGCCTCAAGGGCTGCGTCGCCTCCTCTGACTGGGGCACCCTCGGCTCTGCTTCCTGCAGCAAGGCCACCAGTGAGTGGCGACGGCTGTGCCTGTGTGCACCCCTGAACCTCAGCAAGGCTACCTTATTACACACATGCCGCCTTTGTCACCCCTGAACCTCATTTTCTCCCCTCTCTGGTGCTCTCCTTGCCTTATCTTCCCCTCCTCTCTTCGCCTCGTGCTTTCCTCTCGTCGCCTCTCCTCTCTTTTTCCCCTCTTCTGTCCTCTCCCTTAATTTCCTCTCTCCTCTCCTCTCAACTCCTTTTTTCCCTCTGTCCTCTCCTCTCCTCTCCTCTTCTCCCGTCTCCTCTCCTCTCCTCTCCTCGTCTCTCTTATCCTGTCCTCTCCTCTCATCTCGTCTCCTTACCTCCCTCTCCTCGTTCCTAATTTGGCACTGTCTGCTCATCCATCCTCCTCTCCCCCCAATATCCCCCATTCTATCGCTTACAGAGCAATATGACTTCTCATCCCTGGCGGCAGTGCAGGCAGCATGATCCCACGCCTGCCATGCCACCTGCCCACATCACCCACCCACCCTCGTTCCTCAGCGGGCCCGCCTGCATTCCACAGTCCACTCCTTTGGCCTCAATGCTGCTTCCGGCATTCCAGGACTGGCGAATGGCGCTGCAGGAGTGGCACATGGGGGGCAGGTTAGGGTAGCACGTTCTGGCATGCGGATGGTTGCTCGTGTGCCTTAGGGTGCGTTCCTACCTCGTATCGAATCACCATGTGCTAGTGACTGCCTGCATTAAGTCTCACATGCGGTGCTTGATGCGAGGTAGGAACGCTACCCGTCTTAGTATCTGCTTGTTTGTAGGCTGTGCTTGTTGTGCTTGGTGAATGCTACGTGTACGAAGCTACCGTATCTTAACATATACCGTAGAATGGTAATGCTTGCTGCTTGTCGTGCACCTTCAGGGCTCTGGTTAGCAGGGTAAATCACCCTTACAACCCTTACTATAAGGCTGGGGTGTCTTCCTTTACCTTTTTTTTCAGAGTTGTTTGTTTGTGGACCCTTATTTGAAAATCTATGTTACACATAGGGCTGATATTTCAGAGTGGTCCGTGTAACCGGACTCGTGCGAAAGACTCGAAACGAATCTGACACTGACGGATTTTTTTTTTTGGGGGGGGGGTCGTCTCGTCCAGCACGTCAACATTCGGCGAGATTTTTGCCGCAATCAGCGGCAATTTTTCACAATCAGCGACTCGCCTTGACGGCCCGGACCGCCAGGACACGGAGCAGCCGCGCAGAGTGGTAGGAAACCTGATTACCACGTCCAGGAAATCATGTCCGCCTATCACCATCCCACCTTCTGCACAGCACAGCACATGGCACTCCCCTCTACAGCGAACCGTCCAGATTACCCCTCCCATCACGAACCCACTCAGCTCACCCCAGCGGGAAGCCCTCACGGCGAGGGGGTTCAGCCAAGCACCGTCATTTCTTTAAGCTCTGCCAGTTTCTTGATTCAACAACCACTCACCTCCCGTCTGTCAAGCTAGCTAGCTAGCCACGTCCCGTTTTCCTCTCCATGGCTTCTGACGCTGTTTCTAACGATGACGACGAAGCCGGCAAAACACATGCTGTCTCTCCCCCGCGAACAGGTCTCAGTTTTCTTAAGCCTGTTGCGGTTCCCGTTACCGAGTCTGTCCAGACGCGGGCAGATCCGCCTTCCCTACCCACAACTGGGTCCGTTGCTACGACCCCAGAGGCTGCAGCGGCCGGCCCATCCCAAGAACCCACGGAGCCTGGACGGGAGTCGAGTGGCTCAAAGCACAAGCCAGGCGCCAGTACCGTGCCACAAAAATGGCGACAGCGGAAGCTCCACTTTACACGGGGGTCCAGTCCGGTCGACAAGGTGGCTGACAATGATGGCGATAACGAAGATGACGAAGATGAAGATAAACCGACCTCAGATAAAGATCCTGAGCTTGCGTTTACCAAGGCACACCGACGCTTCAAGAACTCTTGGCAAGGTTTATTCCCTTGGCTTGTGTTGTCTCGCGCTGACGATGTGTTTCCTATTTTAAAATGCAGCACCTGTATGGAGTTTGGCGCCGAGAACGCGAACACGGCATACGGCAAGGGTGGTTCTGGTGGACGCGACATGCAGAAGCTGAGCATACGAACGCATCAACGGTCTACAGCACATCAAGACGCGCATGGGGCAAAGAAGACGAAGGAGAGCAGGAAGTTTCGCTTGGCGATGTTGGCCAAATACGAGGGACTCGACAAGAGCACGCTTCACCTCATCGCGGCGTTGAAAACGGCAATTTTCACGTGCCAATCCGTGGCACCAATCTCTTCCTACATCGCTTTCATCAAGTTCATGCTGGAGATGGGTTGCCCGAACCTCCCGATTGATCAGCGCGGAAGCTACTACTCAGAGTGAGAATCATAAATTGCATTGATGTTTTAATGATCTGTTTGTTTACACTTGTATGACTTCTGACGTTTGCAGCGTGTACGTGCATGTACAACTTCAGCGAATTGATCGAAGCCGCGTCCAAGTATCTAAGTCAAGAGCAACTGCAGCACATCGCCCAGAGTCCCTACATTGGCATCGCTCTGGATGAGAGTGTACCGATAGGGTGCGCGGGAAGCACCTCATCGTGTACGTCACGTACCTGAGACGCGATGAGGTCGTGACGGAGTTTCTCTCGCTGCTGACGGTCGAGAAGGCAGACGCCGCAAGTCTCCAGGGCGTGCTGCTTACGCATTTGGATGTGATCGGCCTCGACTGCACGAAAATCGTTGGGATAAACACTGATGGAGCTTCGGTCATGACCGGGGAGCACACTGGCTTCGTGGCATGTCTCCGCGCGAAGAACCCTTACCTTGCATCGTGTCACTACATAGCCCATCGATAGGAAAAGACATTTGTGACATGAATGTCTTGCGCAATGATTCATGCATCACTTATCTCTCTAATTATTGAACCAATTAACATGATTGCCCGCCTTTCGCAGAGAGGCGCTTGCCGCCAAAGATGTTGCGACCAAGCTGCCGGACTTTGACATCGTTGACAAGGGAGTTTGGACGGTGTCGACGATGTGGTCGCAGAGCTCCAATTTCCACGGGCGCTTCCGCCAACTTCAAGAAGTCGTATGCGAGACGAACCTCGAGTTGCAAGGCATTCATGCCGTGCGTTGGCTATCACGGGGAGAGGTTCGCGAAGGTGCTTCTGGCGACTGTTCCCTTGCTGCACGAGAACAAGCATGCGATGCACGACGTTCAAATTTCACTTTCTAGTCTACTTCCTTGCAGACTTGCTGGCGATCCTGAACGAGTTGAACACCAAATTCTAGAAGCTTCAGGTAATGTTGTTTCTATTTTGCAGGCCTTCCCCGTAAACCCGGAAAAAATCTCAACGAGTAACATTGTTTTGTGTCTTGTTTACCTTGGCAGGTGGACATTACAGTCGTCGCGAGTGAAGTCTCTCTGGCGCGTCGCACCATCGAAGTCCGATACATCGACTGTGAGGATTCATTTGGCAACGGACCACCCCCCCTGCTGAACGAATTCCTCAAGAAGCACGCAAATCCGCAGCACCGAGAGGTAACGGTGGAGGGTGTGGACAAAAATGGTGCTCTGACTATCCAAGTGTTCGAACTGCACGAGCGCCCGATCGCAGGTCAAACCAGTGGGAACGACTACTACTCGTGCAAGAACCTCTGCCACGACTACGCACGTGAGGTGAAGGGACGCCTAGAGTACCGGTTGGAGGATCTGGAACATTTGAATGGCGCCAAGATCTTTCGTCCGGCCATGTACCCGGAGGACAAGAGCCAGCGCATGCGCAAGTGTCGCGAGTGGCTGGGCCAGCTCGACAAATTGTTTCGCCACTCACTTGTAGGTACCAGTTCAGGATCCTAGTTGTATTGCGCATGTCCATTGCACTTCCATAAATTGTCGTATTCATTGTCAACTCTTTGACCCCCAACAGGTGTGCAGTTCAGGGAGTGCGAGGGGGAGCTGATGCTGTTCCTGCACACCATGGACAACAACCACGGCGCGTTGAATTTCTACAAATCGCTTACCCTAATGCTGCAGTCAACGGATTATGGGGGTGCATACCCGAACTTGGTGCGCTTGTGGCAGGCAGTGGCAGTGCTCTAGTTGAGCACTGTTGAGTGCGAGCGCGGTTTTAGCCGACAAAACCTCATCAAGAGCTATACACGTACTAGTTTAGGAGATGCACGACTGGGGGATCTGATAACGTGTGCGCTTCTCCCATCGACAGATGTGAATTGGACGAACTTAGCGGCGCTCTTTCATGGTCTCAAGAAGCGCCGCCCAGCTGGAGATTTTGTTGTTAATGATGTTATGTAGGCATGTATAGTAGTAGCGGTAGGTTGGGAATAGTATTACACACCCTAGGAATATCGTTTAATATAACATTACCGTAGTTCGGCGAAAAATAAGTAATTTTCACCATGACACTGATAAGGAAAAGCTAAATATTCCTACACCCTTACCAGAAAAAGTGCATTATGTGGAACACACTGACAGAAAAAAGTGCCTTACGTGAAAGAGCACCCAGAATCCTAGCCAGAGCCCTGCCTTCAACCACTGGTGTCAACATACAATACCGTGTCCCAGCTCATCCTATAACATACGGTACTGTACAGTGGCCCAGCTCATCCTATAACATACGGTACCGTACAGTGGCCCAGCTCATCCTATAACATACGGTACCTGCAAGCATGGGAGGGGCGGAAACTTGTGCTTCGGTGCAGCCATGGTTTGTAAAAACCCAGGTGCAACATCCTTGGGAACAGTTCACCTAGTTCACGGCTGAAGTTCACGGCAAAAGGTTTGTCCTGTTGTGAAACTCCTATTTGTTTCGTCCAATAAGATTCCATTGCCGGTTTTGGCCCGCCACTGTTCCTAAGAATGTTGCACCCGGGTTCTAAGGCCTTAGATGAATAGCCTTTCCTGTCAATGACCCGGATGACACCTTCATGTGAGAGGAAAGCGCGCCAACTTTTGTAGTTGCTCCACAAAAAGTCCGGACTATCCGAAT